GAATATCCAGATAAATGGAATATAAGCAAGAAAATATTTAATATAGGTGTTCAGTACTGCTCATACATAATCTTCAGGATTCGTATTATAGTGATATTTTCATCCAAGCATAAGTGTCTTATCCACCATAAGGTACTGGAAAAATGGTGGGGGATTTTATCTTGGGGTTTTTACACTGGAGTTGTTCACTCCATTAAAATGATTTACCTTTACATAGTTTCAGGGAGTATTTATCAGTTTATGAACCCAGATGTTTTTCTCTGAGCAACAGTGAACTATGCAAATTATTCATCAGTTATATTTTGGCCACTGCACCTTCTGCTCTAATTATCAGATCAGTTTTATTTATAATAATCTATTGGAAAGATGGTCTTGTTTGAACACTAGTATTTTTTACTCTGCAAATTCTACAGTCAGTCTTGTTGTCTACATTGTTTAATCTGGCAGTCCATGTAGCCAACCTCAACATGCCTTTAGGGAGCCAAACAAACAGCAATGTCATATTAATTATCCAGCCAAGATTCACTAACGTGATTGCAAAGAATGCTAGAGTTTATACATGTTGTAGCAGAAAACTATAAGTTCTCCAATTTAAAAAGCAAAACAAACTTACTTTGAAATTAGTGGTCTTTATTTTCAGTTCAGGCGCCTGGAGTTTGAGGCCCTCTCTCTGACCGTGACTCTTTGATGGCCTAAGTAAAAACCACGTTTACCCTATTTGTACAAAGTGAGCAGGGAGCTGCCTACCCCAGAGGGAAAGTTCATTAAAAAATACTACAATGCCAATCCTAAGTTTTTGACTGTTTTTGAAATCTCAGTGTAATAAATCAGCAATGGTAAATAACTGAGGTTGGTTTGCACTTATTGTGAAATTATGTACAACTGGCAGATCTCCTTTATATATTTTTACTAATTAATTAAAAAGAAAGTCTATATGATTAACAAGTTAATTTACATGTACAATGGGAATGTGCATGTTGTGCCTTCAGGCACACATCAGTGTTGACTCACAGCCATCATACAGGCTTATAATGGAGACACGAAAACATTCGTTAACAAAAAAAATAAAGAAAATGAATTTCCATAGTCACAGTTAACAGCAGTACCTACTATTGGCACTAGTGCAAAGAGAGTTAATTCCAAAGTCACAAGTGAGGTTGCACCTAAGGCCCACATCATTGCAGCAGAATTGTATAGGCTAAAAACCAAGCCTGAAGTATTTTTAGTGGCATGCAGTTTAGCTGGAACTACTAATTCAAATCCTGTTCAAAGACTTAATATCAAAAGTGCTCCAAGTCCTCAAGAACTGTCTCAAATGAAGCAGAAACAGTAACCTATGAAGATAACCTGCTAAACAGAAAGCTGGTACTATGAGATCCCCATTTGCAAGGAGATGTAATGGTGACAAATTGCCAGTTGTTACAGGAATAAGTCCTGAGGGCCCAAACCAACAAAACATGACAAGGGCAGAAATACTAACTTTTGTTAAAAGGTGTTATTTCTTGCTGTTCTTGTATCACAGAAGCATTCTAGAGTACAAATAAAGTCGCTTCAGAGACAGCTTTGGCAGGCTTTAAAAGAACCAAGTACTTGTGGTCATTTTATGTTATCTCTGCCATTGGTTTAACTATCCATCTCCCACAGGGCCAAAAACCAAAGACTTCACAAAATCTGAGGTTAGTTCATGGCTCTACCACACACTTGAAGGAGTAATTAAGACCCAGAAGCTGCAAAAAAGATGCATGCTACCTATGCAAGTAATAATTGTGCAGCATATCTCAAGAATAGCCTCAGTTTTGGCTATGGGAATTAAGAGAATAAAACCTGCTTTTCTCGCAAAAGACGTAATAAGTACCATAGTACAGGACCATGCGGAAATGCAGAGTGCACCAGTCCATCAGATTCATACCCAATTTCATGCATTTACAACACAAATATTTCTGGAAAAGCATTCCAGGTGCATCGTCTGCAGCTGACTGTGGAATAGTGACACTCAGAAAATAAGACCAAAGGATTCTTCAGCTGTGTGCCAGCAGACTATCAGATAGCAGTAGGAAGCTAAGAGGAAACAATGCAATGAAATCCACTGCACAGCAATTCAACTCCTCAAGCAGGAAATGAACAGAGCGTGTGTGGATGTGCAACATTTCCAATAAAAAACTCTCACTGAGCGCTCCCAGGAAGAAATGGTTCTGTATTGACAGCCAGTGTGTTTCTAACACAGTCCCCTCCCCTGGTGGAGCCAAGATTTTGTTTTCTCCACTTCTTTCTCCTGTCTATTTACATCTGAAGTATCTCAGAGCAGGGATGGGTTCTGATGACTCCAGCGGGCAGCCCTTTCTCTTACTGGGGCAAAAATAAAATGAAGTGGAAATTCCCATCAATTGCAAGAAAAGAGTTTTACTCTCCAACTTCATCTGAGCTTACACTGTGTGAAATCCCTCAGCTAAATCAGGCACTTCCAATCAGGCCATAGACTAAGAGTTGCCTTTCAACCCACTTCAAAGACAGGCTAGTTCTATTAAGGAGAATCAGAAAACTGAAGAGGATGCTCAAATTTTAGGATCAACATTCTAAAACTTGGGATCTGCCAGAGAGGAACTTAGAGAGGGGTACTTTTAAGAGGTCCTGAGCCCTCCTTCCCTGCTACCCATAATTGCCAGGTATTCAACAGCTCTTAAATCAAAATATTTCAGCTATTGCCTACACAAAAGTAACCAAGAAAGGTCACCCATGCTAGTTCTGTTGGGCAGAACTAAAATAAAAGACATGCTGGTTTTAATTTTTTGACAAAATATGCTAACCACTGCTCTTTCCATTACCCCTCAGGTGAGGTAGGGAGTGATCAAACAGCACTGACAGCCATCCTTGCCTCTCCCTGGTCTTTCATGAGGCCAGCAGAATAACATACCAAGTGCACTGTAATCTCAACATGTTGTTTGACCTTGAATTACATTGAAATGATAGTCAAAGCCCTGCTTTGACTTGCCAAGAAATGCTGAAATAAAACCCTTATGGACAACATAACATAAATATGGTTGGCTAATACCCATTGAATTATCACCTCAAATTAGCTTTCTTAAAGCTTGAGCTTTTTCGGTTTGAGTTTTTTTATTCAAGTAATAATTTAAAAGCAGAAAGAAAAATCACAGCAAATAAGTTATCACAATATACAGTAGCATATTTAATTAAGAATATACAGATATATGTAAAACACACACATTCTACATTTGTGGCAAAAAAGACCCTGCAGCATTGTTTTGGAAAGACCAAAGGGTTAGAAGCCCCGGAGTTGGGAAGATGGTAGGAAGGCTGGAGCAAAACTGGAGTTGAAAAAACCTATTTCTAATATTACTTGTTATCCATTAGCAATGTATCTTATAAAAAGTCGCAAAATGAAAACTTTCACAAAGTATTAAATACTTATCTGGACAGAAATGGACACTGTCATTCATTTCTAGCCCTTTTCTACACAGACTACTGATGCTATGCCAACGTGATGGCACTGAGAGGGGACCCAGCAGTGGAGAACTGCTGAGGTGGGTGGTTGGGAAGAAAAGCAGGCAGAAGCTGGAAAAAAAGTGGTGGGAAGAGTTTAAAAGTCTCTGTGAGATCACTGATCAGCAAGATAAAAGTATAGAGGGATGCATTAAAGAAGTAGGAAACAAAAACAGTGCCGAAGAAGTATAAACAGCTTGAAGGTAAATTGGGATTTAAATCAAAATCGAGGAAATAAGTTGAGGACTCGAGACAAGTAAGTCAAAGCTGGTATGAAAAAGAGGAGCGCAAGAGGTTAAGCATAGCTGTCCATGAGCCAGGACCAACCCAGGCAAGGCCTCTAGCCACTGCACACTGCATGAATGGAACATCTGTAAATAGATCCCTGGAAATTATGTCTATTTGTGTCCACTGAGAACAGAACAAAAAGAAATCAATTTAATTTGCACCAAAGAAGGTTTAAATAAAACCTAAGACGAACACTGAGTATGGGAACTAAGAGGCTGCAAATCATCGTGCATGAGTGGGCATTTCTTTCTTAACATCAGACTAGAGAAACATCTCCATGTGATGGTCAGAGACCATGTGAGTGGCATCAGGGTGAGGATGTTAGATCCATGGTTCCTCTATGTAGCTCTAAAAGTTTCACAAAGACACACATTCATTACCTTAGGTTTTAAACTATTTGATATGTGACAAAGGATTCATGCAAGAGGGGCGGTTGGCTTAATGAAGACCAAAACTTCATGTATGTTGAGGGTACTATTCTCCTGAATTGGGACAGCTATTGGAGTCCATCTCCTATCCTCCGACTTCATGTTGAACAGGAAGGATGACTGCTTGTAAATCCTGGGATGACAGTGCATGGTGTCCGCCTGCAAATGGGAATGGCACAGGTACCAGAGGCAGCTTCTGTGCTCTGCTTCACAGAATCACAGAATGCTAAGGGAGCTTAAAGATCACCTAGCCCCAAACCCCATGCCGTGGGCAGGGACACTCCCACTAGACCAGGTTGCTCAAGGCCTTGTGCAACCTGGCTCTGAACACTGCCAGGGTTGCGGCATCCACAGCTTTCCTGGGCAACTTCTTCCAGTGTCTCACCACCCTCGAAGCAAAAAATTTCTTACTAATATCTAACCTAAATTTCTCCTCTTTCGGTTTGTACGCATTACCCCTTATCCAATCACTACAGTTCCTGACGAAGGGCCCCTCTCTGCCTTCCCTGTAGAGCCCCCTCAGGAGGTTGCTGTAAGGTCTCCGTGCGACCTTCCCTTCTCCAGGCAGAACAGCCCCAGCCGCCCCCATCGGGTCTCCTCCCGCCCGCCTCTTTCCCTGGGAAGCACCGCTCTCTCTGCCGCGGCTTCTGCCGACGCACGAGGTGTTCCCTACGAGTGCCAGGGCTCCTTTCCCTGCGGGGGCCGAGCGCCGCTGCCGCCAGCAGAGGGCAGGGCCGGCCCCGCCGCTCCGGCCCCGCCGCCGCCACATCCGCCGCCGGCGGGAAGGGGCCGGCGCCGGGGCCCGTGAGGCCGCCGCGCTCCCGCCGCTCGCAGCCGGGCCCGCGGGCCCCGCGCCGGGCGCACGATGCCGCTGGGGCTGAAGCCCACCTGCAGCGTGTGCCGCAGCACGTCCTCCTCCATGTGGAAGAAGGGCGGGCAGGGCGAGATCCTGTGCAACAACTGCACGGCGCGCTCGGCGCCGCCCGCGCCCGCCGCCTTCGCCACCACCTCGGCCGCCGCCCAGCACAGCAACGGGGGCGGCGGCGGCGGCGGCGGGAAGCAGGTGGGAAGGGTGACGAGGGTGAGGGTGACGGGGTGAGGGTGAGCAGGGTGAGGGTGATGGAGCTGCCGAGGCTGGGCGGGGCAGCGGTGTTTCGGTGTTCCCCCGCGTGTTCATCCCGCCGTTCCCCCCAGAGCAAGCAGGAGATCCACCGCCGCTCCGCGCGGCTCAGGAACACCAAGTACAAGTCGGCGCCCGCCGCGGAGAAGAAGGTTTCCACGAAGGGAAAGGGCAGGAGGCACATCTTCAAGCTGAAGAACGTAAGTCGGTGTGTGGCGGAGCGGGGCGGGGGCGGGAGTGGGTCGGGAGCCTGTGCCGGGCTGGGGCGGACCCGGAGCCCGCAGGAGGGGCTGTAAATATAAACCGGTCACGAGAGTTCTGTGCTCCCTTCTCCACGTAAAGTCCTGGGGATTAAAATGTTAACGCTGTTGTTTTCAGTTTTAAAGTAGAAATTCTTGTGTTTGTAATTTTCTTAGAGAATAATATATCAGTATGTTGTCTAAAAAGAAAAAAAAATCCTGGTATTTTATGGTTGGTTTGTTTTAACGCTCTTGATTTTCTATTTTTGTGTTCTTTTCTTAGCCCATCAAGGCTCCTGAGTCCGTATCCACTATAATTACAGCAGAATCAATCTTTTATAAGGTATGGTTAATGCAAATCTATTTGCAAAAAAGATCATGCCGTTTCTATTTCAAATTTCAAAAATTATCACAGATAGTGAAAGCACTAGGGATATATTCACAGAAACTGTTCTTCCTTGCCTAGCAGTTGTGTAGGATATTGTTTTGCCTTAGTTATTGCTTTTAAGTCTTGCAAGGTAGTTTACCTAAGTAGTTTACATAGTTACCATTGTCCCATTTGTTGTTTTTTCTTTCAAGAAAAAGATGCATCTGGTTTCCTTAGTAATTTTTGCAATCAACATTTTTAAACTTTTTGATTTTCACATTGCAGAGGCCAAGCAAAACTGACTAGAGCTGACTGTTTAGATTTGTATAATGTTTCCTACCTTAGGCACAGAGGATATTGCCCATAGAGGGGATTAGCTGCAGTGCCCCAACATCTAAACTGGTTCCTGTTTCCAAGCTGATGGAAGCAGTCTTGAACACCCTGGGAACAAGATCTGTGGACTTCTGCAATGAAAGCAGAAGGGGGACTTCTCACATCATTCATGCTTGAGGGCACCTTCACCAGCATGCCAAGATGTTAGGGTTTTGAGGTTCTGAAATTTGCTTCTGTTTCCCAGCAGTACAAGCAAACAATTTGAATTGTTTTTCCTCCCAGAGAAAATTTCAGGATAGTCGGTGGAAGACTGCGCAGCCAGTGGTGGACTGAGATTCTATATACTCTCTAGGGACCTGATGCTTCACACCTGATATCCCAGATGAATGTTTGCTGTTGACTAGTTCAGAAAAGAATTACTGACTTGTGTGTTTTTAGCAGAAATTCCTAAGAATTATAACAAAACTTCAACTTAACCTCCATATGCAAAATGTTGCTGGTTTGGTACTTTACTGTGTTGTTGTGAAGGGGATTTTTGGGGGGCTTTTGTGTTCTTTTTATCTGTTTTAAAAATAAAAAAGAACCCTCCTGGGTGATTCTTGACTGATCTTGACAGTGCAGGGGCTGCATTGGGCTCTGCGAAGCCGCTGCAGCTCAGAGTGAGTCGCCTCTGATGCGCAGCCTCACGTGTTAGAGAGCACCATGGAAAATGACAGGAGGTGGATCTGTGTTTTGGAACTCTTTTGCACTCGAATGAGTGAACTTTTTCATACACAGAAAGCTGCTTCCCCTGCACACACAAGGAAACCACTACAGTTGCTTTTCCTAGAAGGTGGTGTTGCACTCTTCTGCTTTTGGCAGAATGAGACCATCTCTGCTCTGCAATCAGGAGTTGTAGCCTCAAACTCCTGGATATTGGGGGACTGCACAAGCAGTGCTGATGACTGGTTAGGTGAAACAGCTGTCTTTCTTAGGCCACCCTTCTTTTGCATGTGGCTGAATTAAAGCTGCCTTTCAAGACTGGCGTAATTTGAGATGAAATTTTAGGTATCGATACCTAAAATATTAATCAGAATCACAGAGTGAAGCTGACAAAATCAGATTGTTTGATTTCAGTGTAATTTGTTTGTCTTCTAGGGTGTATACTATCAAATTGGAGATGTTGTCTCAGTGGTTGATGAGCAGGATGGAAAAACATACTACGCTCAGATCCGCGGGTTTATTCAGGACCAATACTGTGAAAAGAGTGCTGCACTAACCTGGCTCATTCCTACACAAGCCAGCCCCAAAGACTGTTTTGACCCAGCATCCTATATCATAGGTAATTTCTAAGCCTTCACTTTACACAAGTAATTGTATGTGCCTAGACTAATGCAGAATTGTATTTTTTAAATGAATTTTATAGCTTCTCATTTCATTTATGCAAGTTCCACATTTAAGACCCTAATCCTGTAAACATTTACTGTAATAGCATTTATCTTGTGTGTATAATATGATTAGCACTACTGCAGTGAGTGTGATTATCTTGTACTGTGATTATCTGAGTGTGCTCACGGGGGCAGTTACACTTTTGGGAGTTTAAAGATCAAATTATTATTCCATAGATAGGTTTATACTGTAGTAACTTTGATTCTGATATACCAGTCCAAGTTGTTTCTTTTAAAGTTACCTGAATTACCTGATCTTTATCCTGGATATTTAAAATACACTGTGTGGAAGCACTAGCATAGAGAATGTTTTGCTAACAATGAGAAAATTATTAATAATTCAGAAAAATCCTTTTGACAGGCAGGCCACAAATAGCATACATTCAAAATAACTACAGTACTTCACATAAATAACTGAATGTTTCAAATGAAGTGGGGAAAAAAGACCAGCCCAGCAAAAATAAAGGTAGATGTTTCTTGCCTAGTATTTTAGGCCACTTGGCCAGGAAAGTCATTGATTGCAAAAGCAAATTCTCTAAATATTGTTGTTGCATATTTTTGAGTCCTGCATACTCCAACTTTATCCCTTTAAATTTTGTCTTTGATGATTTATTTTTTTTCCTAGGCCCAGAAGAAGATCTCCCAAGGAAAATGGAATATTTAGAATTTGTTTGTCATGCGCCTTCGGAATATTTCAAATCTCGATCATCTCCCTTCCCTACTGTTCCTACAAGGCCAGAGAAGGGCTATATATGGACTCATGTGGGACCTACTCCTGCAATCTCCATTAAAGAAACTGTTACCAATAATTTATAATTTTTTTTAAGGAATACTTCGGACAGGTTATTTTACGTCTATTCTCAGGCCTGTGAGCCTCATACAAGAGTTTTTTAAAAGTTATAAAATATGCCATTTTACTTTATGGATTACAGGATTTATTTATTTTAAATATATCATATCTTTAAAGAGGAAGTTTCCATTCCAGTTTATGCATCATTTCAGTGCTCTGCTCTTCAGACATTATTGCTCATTTTGGGACAAACCCACAAGTTTCATGTCATCTTTTGACTTCTGAAAGTTGCCTTTAGTTTTCTTACTTTCTAAATTATTTTCCAGAAAAGGAGTTAAATATATAATCATCCAGCACTTTATATACTTGTTTAATTTAGTTAACTGTGACTGCAGTTATTTACTTGTTAAATAATTTAAGACTACCTTCAGATAAACACTAAACATGGTCAGTGATGCAGTTAATGAATTTCTGTTACATGGAAAGGAGCGATCTACCTGGATTTCTCCAGACTGAAACCTCTCATCTGCAAGGAGGGACTTGTATTTAACAGTCACCTTTTAAGGTGAATCTGAATCTGAAACGTAATGTATGTAGCTTTCTGCTAAACTTTACATAAATTTCTTGGAAAGTTGGATGCAAATTATTGTTATTTGGCTTTGCCATCCTGGCATCCTTATGGCAGGAATGTATCTGCATTTCCAGAGCAAGCCAACACTGAGGTATGATTTGAGTTTCAGATGGTTAATATTTGTATGCATGTTAGCTTAGTCTCTTAAAATTGATTTTAAAATGGTTTTTCAGTCTTTCCAATTAATGATGACTAAAAAAATCCTCAAGCAATTAAAATGAAAAAAAACATTTGCTAAGGGAAATAAAAACTAATTTTATGTATTGACAGTCTCAGTATACCAATGAAAATATGTAAATAGCAGAACAGGAGAAATGACACATACTAATGTCCAAGTTTTCTGCTCTATAAACTTTTTACAAGCCAGTCAGCTCCAAACACTATGAGATGTGCTTGTATGGCCTAAATTCCCAGGGCTTACTGGTTCCTGCTGCCTGTGAAGGATAATAGCTATAAGTGGCCTTAAATTTAAATGTACGGATCTCTTCAGCTTTTTGTTTTCTTTTTGTGAACATATGTGACCATAGTACCCAGGAGCCCCAAATCAATTTCAATATATTGTATGAAAGCCTGTAAAAGTTGCACTGGGCCTATGTTTTAACTTTTAGTACAGTGGGACTCACGAGAGCAGGAAGCAGATATTGTTTCAGCCTGCAGCCTCTGTTATGCCCTCTTCAAATACCAGGAAGAACAGTCAACCTTAAGGGAGTAGGTGCTAGTTAATTTCAATAGTTCAAAATGTTCAGAATTTAGCAGTATATTGCTAATACAGAGTTAAATCTTAATCTTCAATTTCTTACAAACATGAGATGTGCACTCATGTTCTGTGTGTTGCAGAAATTAATCCCAAGGTGACCTTGCTCCTGACCTTCCTCTCCCTTCTCTCCTTTCACTTCCTCTAGATTTTTTTCTGATTTATCTTTATTAAATTAACAACTATAAGAAGATAAAAATAACAACTCTTAAAAGATATGTATAGTAACCAGAATGATTTCCTCCACTCAAGCATTTTCCTTCCTTTCTCTGCAGTCCACGGGGTATTCACTTGGGATCACTGTAAAGTCCCTGTGCTGCGTCAGCATAATCCGTGGACCTTTGCTCTTCTGTGGGCTGTCTTAGCTAGATTGGAATCGTATCTTACCTGCTTTATTTAGGTTGAAAAAGACCTTTAAGATCATTGAGTCCAGTGACGCTCAGGTGCTTTCCTTGACAAATCCTCATAGGGAGAGGGAAGAAAACAATGCTTTCATTCACAGAATCGACTAGGTTGGAAAAGACCTCTGAGATCATCGAGTCCAACATCTGACCTAACACCACCTTGAAGTTTTGCTTTTTTGAGCTACACCACATAAAAAGTACTTGCTTACCCTTTGCCTTATTTATCAGTAAATTGTAATGTAAAAGGAACAATTAATTTTTATCAGAATACACCTGTCTTAAATTTAGTGCTGCTGATGATTCCAAGTATTATACTTCCAACTATAGTCTAAATAGACAAATTTTTTTTTTTCGGAGAACTATGGAACAACTTCCCTTAGTAACCACAGAGCATTTTTATTTTAGTGTTTTATTATACAGGGAAATGTAAAAAAAATAATACAAATAGGCAAAAATTATGGTGATAAAATCTCTAAAGAGAGTGGGTCCGCAAACAGTGACTGTTATTAAAGCATTATAACTTTATTTATAGGTATTTGAATGGTTGCATTGTCCTGTTTTTCTTGTGTTCAGGACATCACCCAGTTACATGGGGAAATGACTGACTCTCCAGACAGCACCTTAGGGATGGACATAGCTGAAGAATGAGACCTCTGAGAGGAGTATCTCTCTCTGAAAATTTCCTATGTTAAAAAAATGAAGAACAAAAGGAAGACCTGCAAAATGGACTCAACAGCAGAAGGGATATCAGGATCCCATGGGAATGTGCTTCGATGCCCTGCAATTGAAGAAGCTGAGCTGGTCACCCATTTTTCTCCCTTTCCTTTGGCATCCCCTGTGCCAAAATGTAGGTAGGTTTCAAACTCGCATCAGTGGACTGTAAGTGGATACACTATTAGTGAACTTATGGCCTTGTGTCAAGCTTCAGAGCTTTGTGACCAGCCAGCAGTCGTTTTCATTAAGGCATTTTAGTTCTAAAGATGGAACATGTAGCTAAGAGCTGAAATCCACAGAGCTTGTATAATATACTGAGTAATGCATGGTACATGTGCCTGTGCCCTGAGGCGTAACACTGCAGTTCCTTCTGCCTGCAGGAAACTTGTGGGAGGAGTGGCCCACCTTTTCACCTGAACTTTACCAAAACAATACATAGTGGAGAGCAGTTTGCATTTGGGCAATGGCTTTGTTGGGAGCACAATGCTACTCTCTTCTGGGAAAAAGTGATGCAAACCCAATGGATAAATAAACGTGGCTCCTTGGGCTCTTTTTGAATTGATGCAAGGGTTCCCCTCTTGCTGCCGTGCTGTCCCACTCGACAATCATCTCAGTAACCCTGGCAAAGTTTGCATACACACAAAACCCAGGAACTGAGCCCCACAGTTTGGACTTAGCCATAGGTATCCAATCCAATCCAATAGCCTTGCTTTGAGGTAATGCAGCCTTATGAATATTATACAAGAAACAAAGAGCACAATTTATTGTAATTGGCAATATATTGTATACTATGATAAATAAACACCTTAAATGGTCTTACAGAACTGAGAACAAAAATATTAATATAGTATTGTAATTTCAACTGCTCTTTACACTTACTGAATTACAAAGTTCAGACAAATAAATCATAATTTTATTCTATTTTCACACAGATAGAATTGGTACATCTCTTAGCTAACAGAGTACATCTCTCCAAAATTATAAATGAGCATTATGTTCAAGCAGAAATACTTTTACAATAGTTAATACTTGTTAATAGTTATTTTTGTGTGCCCCCCACCACAGAGTCTTGTGATCGACAACAGAATTTTGTATTTAGCAACTGTCTCACCCACACAGTCACACTCATCTTTTGGAAAATGGCTTTCTTTTTTATTTTCAGCCCTTCTAGTTGGTGATTTGTTTTTCTTGCATTTGGTTTACAGCTTCAGTGAGATTATTTTTCTTCTCTATTTCAGTAACTTCAGTCTCAATAACAACTTCTTCATGGATGACATCTCCAGGTGGTTCATGCATCTTTATGAAACGCTGAAGTACTTTAATGTCTGTTTAACAAAACAGAAGTAGAACTGGAATCTAGTTGTGGATAGAGAGGTTAGTTTTACCTGAAAATACCAAGATTATCATGTGCTGGACATTGCCCCTGTAGCTGACCCAGAACAGTAAACTCAGGCATCTGTTTGCTTACATATGACAATTTGGGCTCCTGCAAAATCTTCTGAACTCCTTCATTTAGGGAGAACAGAGCAGGAGTGTTCCTCTTTTTTCATGAAGCAGTTTAGGTTTTCTTTAGGGGCAAAGTTGCATTCTTTGTAGGACAACAGTTCCTGCTGTCCTCCTACACAATCTGTGTTCATGGTCCACTTCCTTCCTGAAGACCATCCCCTCTGCCTTTTTTGGTGTAATGTACCTTGCTGTAAACCAGCCCTGTCAGCTGAGCCAGGTTCAAAACACACACAGGCTATTTTTTGTTTCCTTAACATAAATCTTTCTCTAGGGAATTTCAGTAGGAATGTTTATTTTTGTCTTCAGAGGGTCAAACTCTGATAATCCTTTTCAATGTTTGTAGTATCCTCCACAATTGATGTTCCCTTTCATTCTGATTAGGTCACATTTAGATAAAATCACATGGTAAGGCTGCTTGTGGCAGTGAATCTGAATTATGTAAGCAGAATTTGGGAACCCCTTCTCTCCCAAGCCTAGATTTCAGTAGGCCATTAAGAATCAAAGCAAAGATAACCTGTCCTTTTAATCAGTGTGCCCTTCTCAGGAGTATCTATTTCCCAAATTGTGGGAATCCATGTAGGGAATTTTCGAGTTACCTCTCCTCAAGGAGTTAGGACATGGCAGAGTGAAGATGTCATCTTGCTCATCCCGCATACAGAGGTAGAATTCCAGGGGATCTTCCCTGTTCGGTCTTCTGGTGGGATGCCTGTTTCCCCGGGATCTCGCTAGCCCATCTATTTCACTGATGGTTGTTTTGCGCCAGGTTGTTTTTATCACGTTTCTCACCTTCCAAAATGTCACAAAAGAGCTACTTACTATGAACTTCAAGGTGAGAATCGACTGTAGCAGCATACTGAATGACCAAGGGAAAGCTTGGTCAATGCTGCTGAAAAAACAAAGCCTGTGAGATCTCCATCAGATCTCCATGATCTCTGTGCACCTATCAGTTCAGTGCTGAGTGCATAAGCCAGCTATAAAGTCTGACTGCACAAAGTAGTCATGGCATAAGTGTTTAGAAATTAAATACACATTCAACAGAACATCATCAAAGGTTATAACAAATAAAAGGTAGTAAATCTAATTGAAAATCTTACCTATGTTCATCTTCTCATACAACCAAGAGTGGGATGGTCATACAGAGTGTGAGAAAGCAAAGCCTTTTGTGTCAGGAGAATCAATAGTTCTCCGTGGTGCTGATCCTGATAACTTCTGTTTTGATCTTCCTGCTTCTTTAGAGCTCTGTTTCTAAAGTGCTTTGTAACAGACTGCTGCTAGGCAAGATATCAGATTTGTCCCTTTTCATGAGAAGTTGACTGCAAACTGTGGAGGAAATGGAAGTAGATTTGGCATTTTATTGTTGGCCAAAACAAAACCAAAAGCAACCGCTTCATGTCTGATAAGTTTGCAGAGCCTGACTAGGTCTTAATTGCTCTTTTGGTATGTGGAAATGGTATGTTGAAACTTAACATATCCATATATGGCTATACATAGAAACAAATACTGTGGGACAATGACAGGAACACACTGCAATATGCAGCTTCAGTAGGCTTTTAAATCAAGCTTAACCTGTTTGGCAGGACTAACAGCTCACCCTGAATAAGTTGAGACCATCAGAAAAGAAACTGAAACATTCACC